TGCTAGACTCACTCATGAGACGGACTTTCTAGCTGCTCGCCACTTGCCCACTACTCCACCTTTCAATTAAAGTAGCTTTTCTCATAGCGATGATGTCAGCTAGGAGAAGGGGAGACATAGCGGCACTCATGGCGGACCTGCTGTACACGGTGTCGCACAAGATAGCCGCCAATAGTTATATGGGCGCATTCCATGAGAGCAGTATCCACCACAACTGCTTTCCTCAGGGATCTTCCCATAGATGCCATCTGCAGAGCTGCAACATGGGCCTCAGCCAATACCTTTGCACAATATTACACTATTTAGTCCTTTCAGGACTCGACACTAGATTTGGACATACCTTACTGTACAACATCCATCCCTGCAACACTGAGCGCCCACTGCCAAGCAGGACCATTGCTGCATAGTCACCTAAGTGGAGCACCCACGGGGACCCTCGAAGAAGGGAAGGTTACTCACCTTGTGCAGGTTACTCACCTTGAGATGTGTTCCTGTGGTTGCTCCACACCCACCCTCTTCCCCTCTGCTCCAAGCTAACAGTTTGGTGTAGAGAAGAACAGCAAGAATGGCCGCTGGCACGTGCCTACCCATCGATCAGAGTGATTGCGCAATAGCGCAGCACACGCCGGAGACCAGGGACTGCTACCAAAGATCTCCAGGCCATGTGCACAGAAGCACTGACCCACCTAAGTGGAGCACCCACGGGGACACATTGTGAAGAACTCGTTACTGCAAAAGGTGAATTACCTTCCCTTCTCTTTTCTGGCATGCTGGCTGTGGGCTCTCAATTGTTGGTAGCTCCTTGTGTCCTCTCTAAATTTAAATGAATAGCCAGAGTTGCGTGGTGGTCAGAATTTCTTGTGTTAATTGTTCTAAGCTATGGGTCTTTCTTCTCTGTCCCAGACTGAGCTCTTGTGCCTACCACCAATGAACACTAGAGGCATATTTTTAAAGCTTAGCCCAACACATCTTCTTCATTCCTTTCTGAGTATGTCAGCCTCTTGATATTTAAAGTATGGCGTTTACCTCTACAACTCTCAATAGGTGAATAGACTTTGAATTCTGGACTTGCATTTCCACTTGAGAGAGCTTTTGAAATGGCATATCCTCTGTTCATACCAGGCCAATGACAATAGAAAACACTTGTTTGAAAAGCAGAAGCATAGGACAGCTTGTTAATATATTATGTCTGAAGTCCAATAGAAGTTGTAGCGATGCTGCCTGTGTAAGTGCCTTCTTTTTAGAAGTCAGTTGTGATTATTGTGGTCATATTGCAAACGCAGAGACTCTTTTAGTGTTAGAAACAAATTCCTCTCTGGCTCCACAAGCCACTTCCAGTCTTGAGATGGAGAATAGCAACTACATAGCTTCAGGGTAAAGTATTACTGTGTGTGTATGGAGAAAGGGATAAAAATCTATTGTGGAAAATAGCTGCCAAGAATGAAAGTAATATGAACAAATGTAAGGATTTCTCTCAAGACTAAACTTGTGACTTGCCTGTTAATGGGGCGTCCGTGCTGTGTCTGCAGAAACCTGATTCTCCATGGGATATCTGTCTGAAGAAGTCATTGGGTTCCTCTGCCTTCTGTTGATTCTATTCTTATTTTCAGCTTCAGAGTTATGGGGAACAGCCTTCTGTCAATATCAGCCATTTTTGCCTTTTCTCCAATTTTTAGCATTTTAAAAGTATAAGGAAGGGAAACAAATCTTATTCTTTGCATTTCTTCCTAATACCACTGCCTGGATACCGTTGTAGAGGTATAATTGTGGAATCTTTCACACTTTTTCTTTGTTTGAAGGATTTCCCTTGAATATCTGAGGGAGGGTTTGTTTTTGTTTTGTCACTTTGTATAAATAGTCTGTTTCATGAGCACTAAAAAGGCTTTTTCATAGAAGCTGGAAAGTCTCTTCTTGTACCTCCTTGGTGGGTGGTAGTACCAGAAGATCTGAATGCAACAGTTTCTCAAGATGCAACAGTATAAAAATGATGATGGTTCTATTAGTCTTTCTTCATATAGGCAATGAATGTGGTTTACAACCCAGAGTATAAGCTAGAGACCCAGAACTCGTGAGTTTTTCTATATTTAGGTCTTCCACTGATTTATATGGTTAGTAGCTCTACAGACTTTTCTATCCTGAACACTGTAGTGTCACACTCAAGCAGCAGGTTTTACGCATAGCAAGCTTTGGTTTGTTTACAGCCTTGCAATCTTTTGATCCCATCTGAATAAAACCTACCTCTGAATTTAAAAAAAAAAAAACCTTTGAGTGGTCCTATAGCACCTTAGAGACTAACATATAGATGTAGCATGAACTTTTGTGAGCACAATCCACTTCTTCAGGTTTTTCCACTTTTGTATTCCCTAGGAAAAATTAACAGCTTCTGGGACATACAGGAAAATTAGCCCAAACAAAAGATTACATTCTTAGAAAAGCTACTATTTCTGAAGCATTTTTTCCACTACAGAATACAGGAGACACAAAGTTGTTCTGTAGTCTTATAACTTTTGACTGCATTGAAATGTTGGCAGTAATGGCTAGAGAACAATATATAAAGTAGCAGCAGTACTACTTATTCCCACTCTGTGCATAGGTTCTTTGTTCAGACAATGGATTATCTTTTGGCACCATCTAGTTGTGCATCTAGGTAGTGGAATTTATACATAAAGGCTGTATCTACACTGGCATGAATTTCCGGAAATGCTTAAAACGGAATACTATTCCGTTTTCAGTTTTTCCAGAAAAGGAGCGTCTACATTGGCAGGCTGCTTTTCCGGAAAAGCCCTTTTTCCGGAAAAGCGTCTGTGGCCAATGTAGATGCCCTTTTCCAGAAAAGACTACTGGGCTGTCTACACTGGCTCTTTTCTGGAACAGTGTTCCAGAATAAGGACTTATGCCCGAGCGGGAGCAGAATAGTTTTTCCGGAATAGCGGCTGATTTTGTACAGTAGAGCATCGTTGCTTTTCCGGAAATTCAAGGGCCAGTGTAGACAGCTCGCAGCTTATTCCAGAAGAGCGACTGATTTTCTGGAATAAGTGGCCCAGTGTAGACACAGCCCCTATGTCTTCAGCATGCCCACAATAGAGAAAATACCAAATTGCCAGCTGCAGTATTTTACCTCCAATAGCTTGTCCTCAAAACTTCATGTGAAACTTACTGGAAATATGCTGGCAACACTTAGTCTTCAGACTCAGAAAGGAATTTTGGAAAATGTATTCACTAGTGAATTTTGAATTGCCAAATAATTAAGCTCCAGCAGACTTTTGAAAGGCACCAAATGACAAGTAGTCTTTTTTCATTTAAGAAGTATGGGAAAAATGTTCAAACTTAGATGCCTAAAGTTACGACACCTAAAGTCATATTTAGAATGCTGAATGAATGGTGTGGTTTTAGAGATGCTGTGCACTCGCAGCTCCTGTTGACACATAAAGTGAGCTGAAGGCATTTACACTTCCAAAAATCAGACCACTTTTAAAGTGCCTTTATCTACATTTGAAAATTGTAGGATAAGTCTTTAACCCTTTTTATTGGCAAAGAGCCTTGAAAGAATAAACTGATCACTTGGAGACTTGTTATGCTGACTGTAAAAACAAAAAAATGCACTGACCATTCTTTCCCCTGAATTCCCCTATTAAGTCTTGTGTGCATGGCAATGTTTCAGCCCACACAAAAATATACCCCCTTGTGAAATGAAACACAGCAACTAGCAATACTTAGTTACTTTAGAACGGACTTCTGTATGCAACAAGGAAATCTGGGTAGACAGAATGAAGTTACCCAAAATGGGAAATTGCTCAGAATACTGGAGCTGACACAATTCTCAAAGTTCCAACAACAAGCACAAGTACACTGGTTTGACATCCTCTGTAAGAGACTTACCCATCACTGCACTTGTGCTGCGGCATTGGTTGGGTACCAGCTTTGGCTATTGAATCATGAAACCCACAGTTGGGCAAGGCAAGTGAGGCGATCACCTTGGACTCTGCACATTTGGGGCCCATGTGCTGCCCAGCCTCTGGTGCTGCCCACCCAACCGTGAGCCATGCGGCTGTGCGGCTCAGTATACTACCTTGGGCCTCACACACCCTTTGTCTGGCCCTGTGTTGAAGCATCTGGATTCTCCCTGAAGTTCTTATGTCCAAGTACTGATTAGGTCCACTATTGTTTTGCTTGTGAGATTAACATAGTCCTAGGTTATATAGCTATGGATTATTATCACTACTTGCTGACACTGCTGTAAGCATGTCTGTCCTAGGTAAGGTACAGTGGTAGGTTGTTAAAATTTAATAGCTATTTGTTCAGATAGAAGGACTTTGAGAACAATGGTTTAGCAGGAGATGAGAATAAGTTTTCTCCTGCCTAGTTTGCAGAGGCTAGTGATGTGAAAAGTGGGAAAAAACCTGCAACAGAACAAAGGAACCAGGTGTTCATAGGGGACATATAAACTAAAGGGATTCATTGACCAGGAGGCTTTGGAAAGGAAAGGAGAAAAGTGGGATTTTGACTCACGAGTCCTTTTTTAAATGTTGACCAGCTAAAGCAGGGACAGCTAGCTGAGGTAGAGAAAAGCTCCATCATTTTAAAGGGAAAGCTGTAGGTGCTCCAGAACATTATGTTCAGGCCCAAAGAACTCTCCATAAGGTGAGGAAACTGAGGTAAGAGGCAGACAGACAAGTCTTTATTTGCTTGATCTGTGTGTTTTGTTATGCAATTAAAAAGAATGGTCTATATAATCCTGTGGAAATCTGTCGGGAATTTGGGGGCAGAAGTTGTGTTTAAGCTATTGGGAGGGGCCGCAGTGGTCACAGGGGCTGGGAACTGGACTGCAGATTTTCATTTCTCAGAAGCAAGTGCTAGCTCTGTACTTGGAGAGCACACCTAGAGATTCCCCCAAGCCAGACTGTACTGTATGAACATTATTTCTTGTCATCTTCAGTAGATATACAAGGAATTTTTCTGAAAATATGCTTTACTTCTGTGATTTCTTTTCCCACCTACAGAGTGTGCTACCATTTTACGTGGCTACAAAAATGTCTAAAATCCGCAAGGCAACCTTCGATAAGCCCAGTCCTGAAAAATATGTAAGAGCTGCCCTCAGCACAATAGGCCTGCAGTCCCAGACCAACGGATATCTGCCCCATGCCATTATTGTAAGTTACTTTTGAAAAGGGAAGGTTATTTTGTGTGGTTCTGAGTATGTTCTGCATATATTCTGACCATAGGGGAAAGAGAATGCTGAATTACATTACCTTTGAACCTCTGTTCTCAGGGTGTGTCTAATCTGTGATCATAGGTGGTATAGAGGAAGAAGTAGCTCTGCACACTGCTGCTTCCCTCCATGCTTCACCTGCAGCATGTCCCTGCTGCTCCAGTGGGGGGGGGGGGTGGAGCCACGTGTGCCCCTGTGAGTGGGGACGCTAAGTAAATGCCCCACCACAATCCCCCTCGCGCCCAGATTCCACATCACCCTTTCCTGGCCTGGCAAAAATCTTTAATCCAGTATACCCTGTTTCCCAGGGTCACCAAATTAAAGAGGGTTACTTTTAAAAAATCCAGGGACTGATACTTGTTCTTTCATACTTAGTCCTAACTTTGTCACATTTGAACATATAGAAGTGATAAACTTAAAATTCATCACCTATGCCAAACTATCAGTTTTGTCTTTTAATTTCTTAGGGCTGGATCACTTCTCTGCTTCCCATCTCAGCAGTCATCAACTTGACAATGAAACTGAACAAAAAAGTGCGAGCTCGCTACTTAAAGAAAGTGAAGGAAAACTAAGTTGCAGTAACTTGATCAGATGTTTCGATACATGATGGCTCAATACCCACAATTCTGCAACAAATAGACAATCACATTTGAAATGTTCTCTGTCTTTATTTTTCAATGGGACTAACCTCCAGTTTGGGGTGGGATTATGGTACACCATGAATTCTTTCTGGCCTTGATTTTCCAATATTGATTTCAAAGTACGCTTGATTTGTTGCTCATATGTGACTATGGAATATTAACTGGATTTAATCATTAGCTTTGTCATGTATTTATTCCAGTGAATAAGGGATTGTATCCCAGTGCAGAAAGCTTGGTGAATTAAGAAAAAAACCCACACTAAAGTAAGACAAAATGTTAGATTTTAAACTAAATTATTGAAATCAGATGGTCTGTGCTTAGTTCAAAATAGAAATTGATTGGCCATCACTTCAATTTTTTATGCTGGAAAAGTGAGTTAGATAACCTCCATCTTTTTTTGTATTGTGTATATATGAGTAAAGGGAAAAACTGTGGAAGTTTATCTTTCAGGTATACTGCAGTGAGAACATGATTATTAAAAAGCAAGCTAATGTTCCATCATGTAGCCAGTCCCAGCGCAGCCTCAGAAGCTGTATGGCCAGTCTTCTAGTAATGTCCCCCCATGTTTCCCTTAAGATGAGAGAAATGTGTCACTTCCCCTAGGCAGAGCTGCTTGGCTGCTGTGAGTGGCTCCAATAACAGGCTAGTCAAGTTGACTGAGAAGAACTGCCTATTGTTGGGGGGAGGGATTATGTTTTGTTTTATAGCCTAAAACTCAACTCATTGCTTTCATCTAGCATATTGAAATGGATTCTTGGACCAATATTTGAGTGATTTCTATATATATTTTAACATCATAATGTAGCAATTGTTTAAATTCTTGAATATTAATGCTAACTTTTCAAAAATAAATTCTTTTGGATTTGTAATGACCTCCTTAAAAAACTGATGCCTGCTGTAAGCTGTAGAGAGTTGTAACACAGTGTAGTTAAATGCTTCCAGTTACATGCTGCTTGTTGATTGATCTGTAAAACACAATATTGGTACTTGAAATGCAGAACTTGAAGCGCAGTGCTGTCTGTTAGGGGCTGCTAGTTAAACTCTCTTTCCGACACATGAATGAGTCTGTTCTCCACTATGGGTCTGCTGAAATAAGAAGCAGAATTTTTTACACCAATTTTTAAAAATGAATGTGTGAATTAAAAACAATATACCATAAAAAATTTTAGTCTGGGAAAGGTGCAGATTTTTGAATTACAAAAGATTGGATTGCTAAAATATTGGATAATTTTAATAGGATATGTGAAATAAGTCCTCACGGTTGGCATCCTTGTGTTGAAAGTTTTAGCCCACACAGAATTCTCCTTTGCTATCTTATCTCACCATGAGGGAACATTGGTCAGGCAGCGTGTGTAAATTCTTGTACTGCCATTGCCCATCTTTGCTTGCTCTGCGGATAAAGATTTTGGTCTCCATTGACATCAAATTCTTTACCAGCCATAAGTGTACTAAAACTGTAGCTTAAAAATAACTTTCATGGGCAATCACGTCATTTTTAGTGGTGCTGGACATTCTGTGATCTTAGAGTTGTATATTGTGCTGAGGAGAATAATTTAAAGCTCTGCTTTTAAGTTAAAGGTGTTGTATTGAAGCATGAAGGGGCTAACATTTCTTACATTGAAAATACATGAATACCGATGCAATGGTGCTGATCAGACATGAGATAAGGATCTTATCCCATAGCTTGTGTTTTGGTGTGGTGGTGATTGAATGTGGGTTTATAAGACTGCATAAGGCCACAGTTTCTTGGCTTGCTTTGGAGAAAACATGGGGTTATTTGACTAATTTTGTGTATATTCTTTTTCTAACACATGCACATAGAACTAAAATAGTTAAAATAAAAGATTTTTCCTGAATAGGTTAATTGTTATTTTTTTCTTTTTAAAAAACTTTTACCATGCTTAATTCAAATGGCAATTGGTGTCTTACGTACAGTACAGGGACACAACACTTAAAATGATACTGCCCCACCCCAAAGAGTATTCCATTACTGTGGCTTCCTGCTTGTCAAGAATGATGACTAAGTGGCATTTGTGGGGTTTTTGTTATATCAAAGTAAACCACTAAAATAAAGGGAAATAATATAGGGTATGTGTGCACAGCAGGGCTCAAGTCAAAGCTGTGCAACTTCAACTATGTCAGTTGCGTAACTTAAGTCGAAATAGCTTAATTCGGCTTTTGGCGCTGTCTACACAGCAGGACTTTCCTTACTCCTTGTAAAATGAGTTACCACGAGTTGGAGTAAGAAGTCCTCCAGCTCAATATTATCTCGAAATAAAGGCTTGTAGTGTAGACCCGAAATAACATTGCTGTGTAGACATACCCTTACTTCCCTGCATGTGTTCCTGTTAGTGTGGCTGAAGCATTGCCTATGCAGCAAGCATAGAGAACTCTTGGAAGAGAACTCTTAAATTCAAGCAGTGAGTTCAGGTTTTGCATTGTATAGCACTAAGCATGTTACTGGTATCAGAAATTGTAGCCCAGAAATTGCATTCTGATTCTCCAAATCTTTTCTCTATTTTCAGTTAAAAATGGGAGTCGTCTTCACATCCTCTCCTAAATTGCTTTGGTTTTGCTGTTTAAAAACCTATTGCATTTCAGTAAATGATTTCTGTGCATGTACTGTAGTTTTAATGTACTTTGAAATCCTGTGACAGAAGTGCTATAAAAATAAGCCATCTTTCCTTTTCTGCACTACATTTTTCATTTAAATGTTTTATAAATGTTCATAATTTTTATAATGTATGTAACGCCCATTCCTGCACTATTTGCACTCCTTTTTCTGAGTGAGGTGGTGGAAATGAAGAGAAGTCAGTTACATGGTAGATAACACTAAGAAGATAGTGTGCGAGAGAGAATAGCCATGTAGATAGCACAATTACTGTGATGCAAATTTATAACACAGAAAATAGAATCTGTAATTTTGCCCTTCAGAGGCTTCTATTAGAGCTCTGCAAATCTGGAGACATCTGCTTTCACCCATAGATCATTTTTGCAAATGCAGATACAAATTTTGTATCCGCACAGGACTCTAGCCTCCACCACTTTTCTAAAGAATCTTCAATAAGTGTAGCAGTGCACTAATACCACTAGATGGTGACAGTTACACACATACATAAGGAGGTCAGCTGTATTCCGTCTCCAGAAGGCATAAGTGTATTGCAAAAATGTAACCCAAAGTAGTGGCACAGAAAATGCAATAATAATATACTTGGGGAAAGCTAAGAAATGGTTCAATCAGCGCAGTTGCATTTATAGTGATACCTTGCATGATCTAGTACCCAAGATATTTTGCATTTACAGAGGTCATGACTATTGGGATAGCTCAGTGGTTTGCGCATTAGCCTGCTAAACCCACGGTTGTGAGTTCAATCCTTGCAGAGGCCATTTAGAGACTTGGGGCAAAAATTCATCAGGGATGGTACTTGGTCCTGCTGTGAAGGCAGGGGACTGGACTGGATGACCTTGCAAGGTCCCTTCAAGTTCTAGGAGATAGGCAATCTCCATTATTAAAATTAGTTTTCAAAACTTTTTTTTTGCATTGTTGGGAACCCAAATATTTAGCCACTCTTTGAGTTGAGACTTCTAGCATTAGATAAAACTTTGCAAGCTTCTTTTTCTCTTCCCTGAAAGGAGTGAGTGCTTTTTCTTGTACAGGCAGTCCCCGGGTTACGTACAAGATAGGGACTGTAGGTTTGTTCTTAAGTTGAATCTGTATGTAAGTCGGAACTGGCGTCCAGATTCAGCCGCTGCTGAAACTGATCTCCAGTTCCGACTTACATACAGAATCAACTTACAAACCCCAAGCGTCCCCAAGTCAGCTGCTGCTGAAACTGATCAGCGGCTGATTTGTATATCTCTGATCTCACCTGGTGCATTTTCCCTTCTATTCTGCTGATAATTTCAATACATACGAAGAGCAATTCCAGACTCCATTATTGTTCCAAGTTGTGATAGTCTCACAGGAAATGAAAAACTGCCAAACCTTCCTTCCTGCTCATGAAGTCCTGAAAGACGTGGATAAGCCCAGAGAATCTTCTGACTTAGGAAACATTCTTTATTTGTTTGTTTACATAAATCCCCAAGGCAGGAAGGAGAAGACAAAAGTTTCAAGCTCAGTTTCAAATATCTCATTTGCAATGGTTGCCTCAGTGTTACAGAGTTGCTGCCAAAGAGCATAACGAGAGACATGTAGAATAACTTGGTATTAAAAGACAAGGAAGGGAGGGCTGATGACAACTTCAGATTTTTAAAAATACAAAAGTATTATAGAAAGCCTCCACAGGGGGATCAATGATTTCTTTGGATTCCAGAGACACACAGATCTAATCCCCTTTCCATCATGGCAGTGCTGCAATCTCTGGGGTGGAACACCAGAGTTCTTCAATGGGACACAACAACATACAACAGTTTAGTTTGCTCTGGCAAAGCCTCAGAAGCGCGGGAACCCGCCCGGTGCCCCTGGTCTGCTGGAGACGGTCTCCAGCAGACCAGGGGCACCGGAGCAGCTTACAAACGGGGCTTTCTCACCCCGGAGCTCGCAGGTAGCAATCCGCCACCTCGACCTCCGGGGCGAGAAAGCCCCGTTCGTAAGTGCGGATCCAACATAAGTCGGATCCGCCTAAGTCGGGGACTGCCTGTATAGGCAATTGTAAAATATTTTAAAGATGGCCAGACAGATCTTGTGTAAGTTCTCATAACTTTTATGAGACTGGGTTAGCATTTACTCAAACTTACCCTTTTAAATGTGCAAACTCCATGGGAATTACCCAGTTCCAGTAAGAAAGTAGGGACCTGGATCTTATTTTAAGCCAAAGGAATTCATTCACCATGAAGCCCCAGTGCCACAAAACAGCAAGATTTTATTTTTACTAAAATTTTTGAAAGCACTGTGTACTCATTTCAAAGGTGCTGAGCACTTGCAGCTCCTTTTGACTTCTTGGGATTTGTTGGGTGCTTAGCACTTCTGAAAAATCAAGTGAGCATTACATACATTTACAGAGGGCAATTAGGGGGGAAAAAATTCATTCAGTGTGTAAAAAAAAAAAAAAAAATTAAAAGGAAAACATTTAAAGTTACAATTGATCCAAAATATTTAAAAAAAAATGAAAGTATCCTTACTGGATTGTAGATTCATAATGGTCAGTTGCCATTTAACTGACATGAAATGAAAACTGGGAGCTGGACAGTGTGGTATCACAGGGCAACAAAAGGAAAATGAAGTAAGAGGAGAATGAAGTAGAAGAGAAACTCTGGCACAAATAACTAACTCCTTGTGTCAACATCCTGAAGTTACATTGTTTCATTCAGGGCTTCTTTCCACTAGACAGTCAATCTGTGCTGTCACGATCAATGCACTGGCGGTTGATTTAGCAAGTTTAGTGAAGACCGACTAAACTGACCAGTCACTGTACCATCAACCCAGTGTGGTATGGATCTTGCAGTAAGTAGATGTAAGTTAGCTTGATTTGAGTTACACAATTTGAGTTATATTAGTAGTGTAACTTAGCAGGTCTACTATGGGGACAATTTGTTCTCTCAGCCAGGCTGTACTGCACACTTAGTGGCGTACAGAAAAGAATGCCTGCCTTAGGTTAGGAGTAGTGGTGGTCCTACCCTGGCTGATTTGTTGGGGAAGATGGCAAGAAATGCTGTGTTTAATAGCGAGGAAAAGTCTAAGTCTCTACCGTTTGAGTAAGGTTGTAAGACTGGGTGAAAAGTTTGAAATGTTAATTTTCTCAATGTCCTAAAACATTTAATAAATTACCATGGAAAAGGTTCCAAAAGGACAGGTGGTCTCTTGTATCTCTTAAATAGTAGAAAGGGGTAGAGAGAGTTCCTTTACCAACAACCTTAATACAAATCTGTAAAAGAGGAGTTATCGTGAGAGGACAAACCAGTTCTGAACAGTAGAAAACGGGGAGACACATAGAATTCAGAGACTCTGCCACTAAGTTTGAAAGTTAGAAAAGCTGAAAAGTTATGATAGAGCAGTGGCTCTCACCCAGGGGTACCCAGAGATCTTCCAGAGGGCACGTCAACTCCTCTAGCTATTGGCCTGGTTTTACCACAGGTTATAAAAAGCACTAGTGAAGTCAGTACAAATGAAATTTTATCCAATGACTATATTGCTGTATACATTATACACTAAAATGCAAGCACAATATTTTACATTCCAATTAATTTATTTTACAATTCTATGGTGTAAGTGAAACGGTAAGCATCTTTTCCCTAGTAATAGTATGCTGGGATACTTTTATATTATGTCTGATTTTGTAAGCAAGTAGTTAAGTGAGGTGAGATGGGGAGAATACAACACACATGAGAATCTTGAAAAGGGTACAGTCATTTGGAAAGGTTGAGAGCCACTGGTACAGAGCACATTGTTGTACCTGACTTACCCAGGATATGGGGTCAGAGAACAGAGCTTTTAAACAGTTCTACTACAACTTGCATCCTTTTTAGTCCTCACTAATCCGTAGAGTATTGACAGTCTTAGGGGAAAACTCCTGAACAAGCAAGTATTAGAAGTGTGGTTCTGAAGAGCCAAAAAACAGATTTCCTTGACATGAGACCAGTCATACTGAACCTAAAGGAAGCCACTGCCAGCAGCAGATGACCAGATTTGAAAGAGAAGAAAGCTAAGGATTCTGTTGAACACCCATTATCTATGCTACTCAGTCATCTGGGAATCATCTGGGTAAAGCGGCTATCCAACTGAGATGAAATTACATGCTAATTATAGAGACAAGATAGGTGAGGTAATATCTTCTATTAGACTAGCTTCTGCTCATGTGACACACAAGCTTTTGAGCTTACACAGAGTATTTCTTCAGGTCTGGGAAACAGCTACAACAC